CAACTGTCGGGCCTTGCTTCTAGTCAGCTGATCACTAGGTTAGAAAATTGGAAAAGCCACTGGTAGACTGCTTGAGACTGTAGAGTGCAGGTCAAGAGGTAGGTTCAAAGCAGGACAGGCAAGGGCAGGTCTTAAGTTAAGCAGGTGGCATCAAGAGATCCTTCCACGTCCTATCCCACCAGGAAATCCTCCTATCTGGTCCTGTAGGTGAGTTGCATCAGCCATGGACATTAAGGAAGCTATGGTGTTCCAGGTGTAGTGTTAGACCATGGTGTTCCAGGTGTAGTGTTAGACCATGGTGTTCCAGGTGTAGTGTTAGACCATGGTGTTCCAGGTGTAGTGTTAGACCATGGTGTTCCAGGTGTAGTGTTAGACCATGGTGTTCCAGGTGTTTACCTGGAGTTTACCTGGAGAGAGTTCCGGGGGTCAACGCCCCCGCGGCCCGGTCTGTGACCAGGCCTCCTGGTGGATCAGAGCCTGATCAACCAGGCTGTTGCTGCTGGCTGCACGCAAACCAACGTACGAGCCACAGCCCGACTGATCAGGAACTGACTTTAGGTGCTTGTCCAGTGCCAGCTTGAAGACTGCCAGGGGTCTGTTGGTAATCCCCCTTATGTGTGCTGGGAGGCAGTTGAACAGTCTCGGGCCCCTGACACTTATTGTATGGTCTCTTAACGTGCTAGTGACACCCCTGCTTTTCATTGGGGGGATGGTGCATCGTCTCCCAAGTCTTTTGCTTTCGGTGTAGTGTTAGACCATGGTGTTCCACGTGTAGTGTTAGACCATGGTGTTCCAGCTGTAGTGTTAGACCATGGTGTTCCAGGTGTAGTGTTAGACCATGGTGTTCCAGGTGTAGTGTTAGACCATGGTGTTCCAGGTGTAGTGTTAGACCATGGTGTTCCAGGTGTAGTGTTAGACAATGGTGTTCCAGGTGTAGTGTTAGACCATGGTGTTCTAAGTGTAGTGTTAGACCATGGTGTTCTAAGTGTAGTGTTAGACCATGGTGTTTCAAGGTTAGTGTTAGACCATGGTGTTCTAAGTGTAGTGTTAGACCATGGTGTTCTAAGTGTAGTGTTAGACCATGGTGTTCTAAGTGTAGTGTTAGACCATGGTGTTCTAAGTGTAGTGTTAGACCATGGTGTTCTAAGTGTAGTGTTAGACCATGGTGTTCTAAGTGTAGTGTTAGACCATGGTGTTCTAAGTGTAGTGTTAGACCATGGTGTTCTAAGTGTAGTGTTAGACCATGGTGTTCTAAGTGTAGTGTTAGACCATGGTGTTCTAGGTGTAGTGTTAGACCATGGTGTTCTAGGTGTAGTGTTAGACCATAGTGTTCTAGGTGTAGTGTTAGACCATGGTGTTCCAGGTGTAGTGTTAGACCATGGTGTTCCAGGTGTAGTGTTAGACCATGGTGTTCCAGGTGTAGTGTTAGACCATGGTTTTTCCAGGTGTAGGGGTTTAAAACCAGGGTTTTACCACGTGTGGGTTTTTAGACGTGGGGGTTCCAGGGTTGGGTTTTTAACCAGGTGTTCCAGGTGAAGTGTTAGACCAGGTTTTTCCCGGGTGAAGTGTTGAAACGATGGTTTTCCGGGTGTAGTTTTAACCAGGGTTTTTCCCAGGTGTAGTGTTAAAAACCTTTGGTGTTCCAGGTGTGGGTTTTAAGACCATGGGGGTTTTCCGGGTGAAAAGTGGTTAAAACCAGGGTGTTTCCAGGTGAAATTTAGACCCAAGGTTTTTCCAGGGTAGGGGTTAACCATGGTGTTCCAGGTAAAAGTTTTAAAGCCCATGGTTTTCCCCGGGTTTATTTTAAACCCAAAGGGTTCCAGTGTATTGTTAGACCCATGGTGTTCCAGGTGTATTTAGACAAGGTTTCCAGGGTAGTGTTAAGAACCAGGGGTTTTCCCCGGTTAGGGTTAACCAGGGTTTTCCAGGTGTAAGTTGAACCAAAGGGGGTTCCAGGTGTAGATTTAAAAAACCAGGGGGTTTTCCCGGGTGTGGGTGTTAACCAAGGGTTTTCCAGGTGTATTGTTAATAAAATTGGGTTTTCCCGGGGTGTAGGGGTTAGACCAGGGTTTTTTCCGGGTGTAAACTGGGGGATTGAATCAAGCAGTTTAACTTTCTAGCTCATGTGAAGTCATCTTCACAAAAAACTTAACTTTTTTTAATAATAACAAAAAAAATTTTAAACCCCCCCTTTGTTTGGGTATCTACAAAGGTGTGTATAATAAATATTTTTCAAGAAAATTTTAAAAAGACCACCTGCTCTTCACGGGGTTTGCCCAAACCAAAGGGGGCCCAAATTTTAATTTCCCCCAACGGGTCAAAAGTTTACTTTGTTTTTCTCTGTCAATTCCCCAAAGTTTATTTTTGGGAACTTGAAAAAAAATTTAAATGTCCAGCGGGTTTGAAAACCAACGAGGGGTTCCAATATCCGGACACTGGGAATAAAATTTCATAATTAAATTAAAATTTTCGGGTGGGGGAGTAGCCCACACTTTGGGATTTTTCTTTTTATAATGGGAAACGGGAGGGCCAAATTTTAAAATTTCTTTTCATTTTTGTTTTTCCCAATTTTTTTTGCATACAACAAAATTTTCAGGTTTCCCGATTTGTTTTTTTTTTTTCCCCCGATTTTGACACCACTGGGCATGAGCGGGGGATGATCCAAAACCCAAAAAGGCCCAAACCCCTCGTATCTTGCAGGATCTTCGCATCCTCCCGGACATAAAATAAAACCCTCACAAAGGAATTTTTCTTCCCAAAAAAAAATATGGCAAACCCAAACCAAAGGTTTTCCCTCCCGGGGTAAAGATTGTTTTCCATTGTCATAGTCAGGGGGGCTAAACAGAAAATGCGGGGGTGCCCTTTTTAAAAGACGTCATTCTTTATAACACAAGTAGGCTAAAATAAATTTGAAACGTAAAGAGAAGATAAAACAGGCAGAAACCCAAAAAGGGTAAGAAACGATTAAAAACAAAGTGCCACTAAAGAACAATGGACGGTAGTCAGAAAAAAGTAAAATTTTATGGAAAAAATCCCAAAAATAATTTACAATAACCTGGGGGGTTTTTCTGGTCCCCCCCCCTGGGGGGGGCCCGGTCAAAACCCGGGGTTTTGGCCCCAGGGTCTGATCCCCCAGGCTGTTACGGGCTGGCCCCGCACGCAAACTAACCGAACCGGAAAACACCCCTCGGGTAAATTTACTGATTTAAAAAGGGTTCCTTTTCCCGGGGTCCCTTTCTTAAAATACCCCCGGGGGACCCTATTGGTAACCCCCCTTTAAGAAAGGCCTGGGAGAAAAATAAAATGGGGGATGTAAGGCCATTTAAAATAACTGGGGAAAGAAAAGGGACATTAGATGAACTTTTAAAAAAAAAAAAAAACTAAAAATTACAGTGATTTAAAAAAAAAATAGGAACTGCACATTTTTGGGAAATAAAAAGAGAAAAAAAAAAAAACAAAGTACAGGGTCAAAAGGGAACTTCCCGGCGATTGTAAAAACACGGGAAAAATAAAAAATTTGCATTTTTGGTCACAGTGAATCCAGCAACCCTTCCCTATGGGTAATCAATATACCTTTTGGATTAAATTTTTAAAATGTAACCACGGGCCCAGTAGATTAAAGCGCTGGCTGGAATTTATGACTTCCCGCAGTTCAACCCCCCTCCCTTTCCCGGGTTTTTGTTTAAAAATCGTTTCATTTTTCAAATTTCGTGATTTCAAAAATAGGGGGAAAAAGGGTTGGGCAAAATGTGGGGAAAAAAAATTTCCTGCCTGACGAAGGGGCCCCGTCAACGCAGTCAAAACCATCCTGCCTACAACAGGTGTTTCCTAGCCCCCCGGGAGCTAAAAACCTAACAGTCTTCACAGACGGCAGCACCTTTCCAAAACCCAAGAAAAAAAAAATAATGGAAAAGATTTTTTCGGTGCAAAGGACTTCGGTGTTTTGGGGTCCCAAACCACTCAATTCTGTTATTACCCCTAACTCCTCAATGCTTTGGGAAAAAAAATTCTACTTCCCTGAAAAAGTAAACAAATAAAAGGAAATTCTAAAAATATATAATATAAAATTTAATTCAAATAAAAATATAAATAAATTCTAAAATTTAATAAAAAATTTCTATAATATATAATAAAGCGCTGAAAAAAAAATAAAACCCCAAAAAACAAAGCTACATCAAAAGCTTACTTAATTTTCGTAAGTTAGCCAAAGTTTTTACTGTTCAAATTGAAGCATTGTCCAGAAATTATTCTTTTTACCTTCAGCTTGAGAGAGTGAAGTTTCTGGCTCGCCATTATTGGGTGGAGGATCGAGCCTCCAATTCTCATATATATATAATATATATATATATATATATAATATATATATATATATATATATATATATATATATATATATATATTATAGTTATTTGCTTATCAACTAGTAGTGCGTCGACGACAGTGTTCTTCTCACCCATCTGGCCGCACATCCTCGGCTTCTGGAAGGTCAGAAATAAAGACCACATCCTCTTCCTCCGGTACGAAGACATGAAGGAGGTAATGCTCTCTCATCTTTACTCTAATATTCCAATAATTCTCGGTCCTAATTAACTCCATTTCCAGATTTGTTTTTATAAGAACATAAGAAAGAAGGAACACTGCAGGAGGCCTGTTGGCCCATACTAGGCAGGTCCTTTACAATTCATCCCACTAACAAAACATTTGCCCAACCCAATTTTCATTGCCACCCAAGAAATAAGCTCTGATGTGAAAGTCACACTCAAATCCAACCCCTCCCACTCATGTATTTATCCAACCTAAATTTGAAACTACCCAAAGTCCTAGCCTCAATAACCCAACTAGGTAGACTGTTCCACTCATCAACTACCCTATTTCCAAACCAATACTTTCCTATGTCCTTTCTAAATCTAAACTTATCTAATTTAAATCCATTACTGCGGGTTCTCTCTTGGAGAGACATCCTCAAGACCTTATTAATATCCCCTTTATTAATACCTATCTTCCACTTATACACTTCGATCAGGTCTCCCCTCATTCTTCGTCTAACAAGTGAATGTAACTTAAGAGTCTTCAATCTTACTTCATAAGGAAGATTTCTAATGCTATGTATTAATTTAGTCATCCTACGCTGAATGTTTTCTAACGAATTTATGTCCATTCTGTAATATGGAGACCAGAACTGAGCTGCATAATCTAGGTGAGGCCTTACTAATGACGTATAAAGCTGCAGTATGACCTCTGGACTTCTGTTGCTTACACTTCTTGATATAAATCCCAGTAATCTATTTGCCTTATTACGTACGCTTAGGCATTGCTGTCTTGGTTAAGGTTGCTGCTCACCATAACCCCCAAGTCCTTTTCGCAATCTGTATGGCTAAGTTCTACATCATTTAACTTATAAGTACTAGGGTTATGGGCACTCCCAAGCTTCAGAACCTTGCATTTATCTACATTGAACTGCATCTGCCACTTTTCTGACCAAGAATAGAGTTTGTTTAAATCCTCCTGAAGTTCCATAACATCTACGTTTGAATCAATTATCCTACCTATCTTTGTGTCATCGGCGAATTTGCTCATATCACTAGTAATTCCCTCATCAAGATCATTGATATATATTATAAACTACAACGGGCCCAAGACTGATCCCTGTGGAACGCCACTTGTTACAGATCCCCACTCGGATTTAACCCCATTTATGGACACACTCTGCTTCCTGTCAGTGAGCCATGACTCGATCCACGAGAGCACTTTTCCCCCAATGCCATGAGCTGCCACTTTCTTTAACAGTCTATGGTGCGGAACTCTATCAAAAGCCTTACTAAAATCTAAGTAAATAATATCAAAGTCTTTATCGTGGTCAACAGCCTCAAAAGCTTTACTGAAGAAAGTTAATAAATTAGTTAGACAAGACTGGCCTCTTGTGAATCCATGCTGAGTATCATTAATCAAGCTATGCTTATCGAGATGGCTTCTTATAATCTCAGCAATAATTGACTCTAGTAATTTGCCTACAATTGAGGTCAGGCTTATTGGGCGGTAATTTGACGGTAACGACTTGTCCCCTGTTTTAAAAATAGGAATTACATTAGTCATCTTCCACATATCAGACTCTACACCTGTTTGAAGAGATAAATTAAAAATATTAGTTAATGGTTCACAGAGTTCCATTTTGCATTCCTTAAGAACCCTGAAAAAACCTCATCAGGGACCGGCGACTTATTTTGCTTCAGTCTGTCTATCTGCTTCACAACCATTTCACTAGTGACTGTGATGTTACATAATTTATCTTCTTCTAGCCCACTATAAAAATTAATTACTGGAATATTGTTAGTGTCTTCCTGTGTAAAAACTGAGAGAAAATAATTATTAAAAATCGAGCACATTTCATTCTCTTTGTCAGTAAGGTGCCCATAGTTTTTTTTTAAGGGGACCTATCTTATCTCTAACTTTTGTTCTATAGACCTGGAAAAAACTTTTTGGGTTAGTTTTAGAATCCCTAGCAACTTTAATTTCATAGTCCCTTTTAGCTTTTCTTATCCCCTTTTTAATGTCCCTCTTAATGTCAATATACTGAATTCATAAGATGACCCTCACCTCTTTTGATACACCTATAAATTCCTTTCTTATGCCCTAGTAGATATTTGAGCCTATTATTCATCCATTTTGGGTCATTTCTATTTGATCTAATTTCTTTATATGAGATTTAACGTTCTTTGAGCAGCATGTATAGTGTTCAGAAAACTGTCATATTGATAGCTCACTTCGTTACCCCAGTCAACAGATGATAAGTGTTCTCTAAGCCCATCGTAATCTGCTAAAACGAAAATCTGGGACTGTTAATGAGTTATCGCTACTATCGTACTTTTCCATTCAATGCTAAATGTAATTGATTTGTGGTCGCTAGCACCAGTTCCTCTGAAATTTCTAAATTATTAACAAGGGATTCATTGTTTGCCATAACTAAGTCAAGTAGGTTATTTCCCCTTGTAGGTTCTGTCACAAACTGCTTCAAAAAACAATCCTGAACTACTTCTAAGAAGTCGTATGATTCTAAATTCCCAGTCAAGAAATTCCAATCAATATGACTAAAGTTAAAGTCTCCTAGAATTACTACATTATCGTGCCTTGTGGCCTTAACAATTTCCTCCCATAGTAGTCTCCCTTGGTCCCTATCTAAGTTTGGGGGACGGTATATCACTTCTAAAATCATTTTTTTCATGCCCCTCTGAAAATTCTATCCAAACAGACTCTGTATGTGTTACTTCAGACTTAATACCCGTTTTTATGCAACAGTTCAAGCGATCTCGGACATACAATGCCACCCCACCCCCCTTCCGATACTTCTATCTACTGGAACAATTTAAAACCCTGAATATGACATTCCGCAGGCGTGTCCCGACTTTTTGAATTAAAACCACGTCTCAGTTAAGGCAAATACATCAATGTTACCTGCACTAGCAACTAATCTCAACTCGTCCATCTTATTTCCTAGCACTACGGCAATTAGCATAATAAACATTGAAAGACTCTCCTTTCTCTTTACCCTTCCTGCTCATTTCTGTTTTTCTACTAAACCTATTACTGTCCTTATCACCCAAAGTCCTGGCTTTTCAATATCTACCTCGTTCTGCTTATTACTATTTTCCCCTAGAACTCGTAATATTACTACACTGGGACTTCACTGTTTTCCTGCCAAAACCCATACCACTAACTATTCCTAGTTTAAAATCCTAACTGCTCCCTCCACTGCAGTTGCCAGTGCTACCACCCCAGACCTAGATAAGTGAACCCCATCCCTGGCATACATGTCATTTCTGCCATAGAAGAGGTCCCAGTTGTCAATGAATGTTACCGCATTACCTTACAGTATTTGTCAGCCAGCAATTGACACCAATTGCCCTGGACAACCATTCATTTCCAACTCCCCTCCTTGGCAAAATACCACATATGACAGGGTTCCCACCCTTACTCCTAATTATTTCTATTGCTGACCTATACCTGCTAATCAGGTCTTCACTCCTACGTCTGCCAACATCGTTGCCTCGAGCACTGAGACAGATAATAGGATTGCTCCCATTACCTCTCATGATGTCATCCAGACGGCTAACAATATCCTCCATCCCAGCCCCAGGAAAGCAAACTCTCTGTCTCCTACTCCTGACCTTCAAGCAGAATGCCCTATCCATATACCTAACTTGGCTATCCCCAACAACAACAATATTCTTACCTTCCTTGGTGTCGTTCATCGTGATGTTCCCAGTAGTCGACTCACATTTGTTGGGTAGCACTGAGAATGTATTAGATGTTTCCACAACAGTTTCCACGGCAGTCTCTTTCTTCTTCATCGTTTCTACCTTTCCATTCATCTTCTTGATCGTCGACTTCGTTCCCTGCTGTCCAGCCACTGACCAGTTTCCCTTCTTGACCTGAGGACTCAAAACAGGAGGACTACTACGAATCTTCTTGTTTTCCTCGGTCAGTCGCCGAATCTCCAACTTCGCCATCCTCAATTCTTCCTTAAGCTGTTGGTAAAGTTGCTCGATGGAGGGCATCTTGCTTCAATTCGTAGAGAGCGCGCAAACAGGTCTTCACAGAGCTAAGTACACGTCAACACTGAGCTAAGTACACGTCAACACTTAAGTTTTTTTTCCCTTGGCCCTCTACCGTTAAGACAGTGTAAGCCATAAAAGTGAAACGTTCACCATCATTCATTCAATACCTGTCTTTCCAGAAGTGCGCAGAAATCACATTTTAAATGATCTTCCGATCTGTAACATCCCCCATCTCTTCTTCAACGTGTAGGTTTAGCGCTTTTTATTATTATTATTATAATTCTTCAGCGTGCAGACGCTGTACTTACCTCCTACAAGACTCAAGGCTGACTAACCAGTTTCCTAGAATCCCTTCATAAACGTTATCTTGCTCACATACCAACAAGTACAAACACTACTACTGGATGATCAACCCCCTTACTTCTCAAAACCTTCACTCCCTCACCCGTTTTTTAGAACGACTCCTACCTCTTAGTCATCGTATGCTGCTTCATCATCTCCAAATGCCCAAACTACTCTTAAACACCTACCTCTGCCCCCAGATGTTGTACATGTGTCTAACTCATCACTTTTAATTATATCCATTACTATTGATTTTAATAATTCAATCTTAATATTAAATATAATACCAAGAATCTATAAAATGCTGTCTCATAATATTTGACTATGTGTATGTGGAGTACAGAACCTGGCGGCTGTAGTGAGGCAAATAGCAGGTTTCCTGGGAAAGGAGGTGGATGAGGAGAAGGTGTCATGGCTGGTTCATCACTGCTCCTTCGGGGAGATGAGCAAGAATTCAGCCGCCAACAACGAGACCATGATGATAAGATCCACAGAAGAAGCCAAAAATATCAAGTTCATGAGGAAAGGCCAGGTAACTCGTGTAAGATGAATGTATAGTTGCGATGGTGGTCAAGTAGATAATGGAAAAGTTAAGGGTCTCTCGAGAAGTGAGTGTTGAATCCTAGGTCAGGTATGCAGGATAAGAGAGAAAAAGAGGGCTTAAGAAAACTAATTACAAGCGGAGTCAATAATAAGTTAAAGATCACCTGAAAAATCTCATCCTTCTTTCCTCTACCCAGAATGAATAGTCTTGCCCCTTTGATCTATCTTCGTCTACCCCCACCTCAGGGTCATCTTCTCAATCCATTCCTCTGCAAGAACCTTCTGCCAGTGTGCCAGCGGCATGAAATTCTTCAGTTGATAATTATCTGGAATTCGTAAAAAAAAAATGTCAACAATTAGGCTAAAACAAAAACACTTGCCAAAGTGAACTTTAACGTTTAATCTTTTGTTTGAAGATCATAAGTTCTACAGAGGATTTCGCAACTAAATTATTATAATAAAAAAGAAGCACTAACCCTATAGGGGTCATACAGCGCAAAACTAAAACTGATATTACATTCATGTAGGAGCTCTGAACTGAAGAATGGCAGACTACTAGGTTTGTTTCAAGGAAGGAAGAGGTACTTTGAAATCCTTAGATCAAGAACCATTTACCAGCTCTTCACAAGGAAGGAAGAGGTAATTTGAAATCCTTAGATCAAGAACCATTTACCAGCTCTTCACTGAGAATATCTAACCAAGAAAATACACGAAATAATGAAATTAAGTTGCATAAATTTCGATAATTCTTGATATGATGCGAAGAAGTTTAGCCATTAGCATTATTGCGACCACTTGTTCACTTGTCTTGGTTTTAGATTTCTAAATGTGAATTCTTCCAGTTTGAAACCATTGTTTTAGCACTTTAGAGGATTTAAACTGATAAAGCTCATCACAGCAGATGTGAAGAGTTCTTGGTAGATGTGGTAGTGGCACATGGAGCACTTTGTGTGATGTCAAGTGAGGTGTGAGAAATAAATTACCTGCATGAAACTCAATAATGCATTCATACAAATAATTTGATTAGAAGGCAACTGAGTAGGACTATTTACATTTTGTTGCTCCTCTGAGGTATGTGGGAATTTTGGATATTCTAGGTCACTGAAGAACATCCCCTCTGACACCCACAATTCTATAGTACACGTGTAACCCTGGACCTATAAATTATATTGAAATTAATAAACTAATAATTCTGGTAAATATATTTCAATTAAGTGGACTGTATAAACTGAGTTGGACTGACGGAAGGAGGGGGGAGGGTACAATACAATTAAAGTCATTACTATATTCCACTGATTCACACATACAAGATTCCTAATATTAACTTACCAATTTTCTCTGGAGGTCGCTTGATGCAGCTGGATCACCCACAACATCTGCCTTAATATGAAGAACCTAAACTGGCCAGCTACCTCAACATAAAATGACAGGTTTACTTAGCTGTGGGTAATGAATACAGCATCCTTTATCTTCCTCCATTCACCCAAATTCCTGGATGTCCTGCCAGTTTATTATCATCGTGCCTTCAGCAGGACTGTATTTCCTATTTGCCTGACTCCTATTTGGGAGGATTGAAATATTCACACCAAATTACCATGTGGTCCCACAATTGAATTCCAATATGGCATTTTCCTGTATTTCACAATTTTCCACTATATTACAGTGGTTTCACACTTCCCAGTTCGCAGTGTAGTGCATCACCGCATTATTTGCTACTCATCTGAGTCCGTTTCACCACAATTTGTCCCCGATGAAGCTTGATTTAATTTGACTTCACTGAATCTCCATTATGGCGTTCCCCCACAATTTTCTATTCTCACCACCCTGTTATGGTGGTTTCGTAAATTTTCTGTCCCAAATTCTCCTCAGGGGACATTTACACGAATTCCTGTTATGAAGTGAGACCGATATTCCCCAATAGGCCTCTGGAAACGCCAAAGTCCTGGTGCAAATTTCTGACCAGTCTTCACGCGATTAAATTTAGCATGGCGTCTACCCTCCCCCCGGCCGTACCTGCAACAACCTTCCCCACAACACACCAAATTTTTCGAAGGGTCAAATCAGCAGCATTTTAATATATAATTATTATTTTATACAAAATTACACATACTGACTTCCGGAAAATTCAGAATTTTCCACACTGCGGCCGGGCGGAGTTCATTGCTAAACGATGTAAATTGCTCCTTCCTCTATAAATTTATTCTTTAATTGTTCATTAATTATATCATTATTAGTACGAGGAAGCCTACCAAACATTACATGACCACCTGCAGTTTTTAGCACAGTAGCGCCACATTTCTTTACCAAACCTTTTACAAAGGAGGCCTAATAGTCACTACCTATAAAATATTTATTGGCCCCACAGTCATTATCTACAAGGTGCCAATTTTACATTATTTTGTGAGAGCCTTGCAGTAGCTTCACTAAGCCCTGTTGTAGAGATTTTCTCTGGTAGCCTGTCCACAATTACTGCATTAATACTTTTTCTCTCCTTGCCCAGGATGACAGTTACAAAAAGTGTCGTACAACTGGGCCCTTTTATCTGAAAGAAAACCAGATAATTTTAAAGTTGTAGGATCCCCCATTTATACTTTCATCCCATTAAGGCAATTACATTTTATGAAAGTACGCTGTGATCCCTGATCTAGTAACGCAGCTACATTTTTGGATTTATGCCTTTTACCACTAATTTTCACATCCACCACAGGTAAGGCCACTTCAGCTATGCCATCATTATTTACATTTGCTGCAATTTTTACATTAGCTACTGTTGCCAGGGTTATCAACATTATCATTATTGTCATCATTATTATTACAATTATATAAGCCCTTACACATGACTATATGGTGCCTTACTTTGTGGCATTGATAACAATTATTCAGTTTTGCATAATAATCCTTTGCATTATGATTGCCTAGACATCTGATACATCTGTCAAGTTCTTCCAATCTTTCCACTTTAACATTCCATAAATTATAGGCATTAAAATTCTTAGAGATATGAGTACCCTTGCAGAAGAGACAATCTCTCTTTTCTTTGATTGGTCTCTTGTTAACTGGGCTACTCTTATTAGGGCACTTATTCCTCTTACTTTCATATAGAGAATCACTATGTCTGGTTCCTGCCACTTGATATGTGCCTATGCAACCCTTTTTAGGAGATGACTTATGATTCACAAATAACCCGCACATAGAAGAGAGGAGCTTACGACGACGTTTCGGCCTGACTTTGACCATTTACAAAGTCACACTGTGTGACTATGTAAATGGTCCAAGTCGGACCGAAACGTCATCGTAAGCTCTTCTCTTATATGTGCGGGTTATTTGTATATCGTTCCAGTCACGGTATTGTGCCTTTTTTTGTTATTTATTGACTTATGATTATTAACATTGGGATAATTTTTCACTTTGTGAAACTTGACAGATACCTCAGTCACTGAGTGTTGTATCCTTAGAATTATTTGGCTGGCTGGTCTACAGTTGAACAATTAATTCTTGTAGACCTAGTCTTATTTCCTCCAGACCAAAATAACCTTTGTGGTACTTGTTAGATAATCATTTCACAGTTTTACTGCTCAATTTATTCTGCACAATTGAATTCAATAACCAATCTGATCCACCCAGATCATATTTATTAAAGTTTTTAGAGTCCTCTGCAGTTTAACTCTAAATTGCTGTAAACTTCTGTAATTGTGATCTGGAGTTTGCAAATTAACTACAATGGTAAATAAGTCCAGTCTACTTTGTTCTAAATTACCATAAATAACCTCCAACAAATCAACTGTTTCTTTGTAAGAGTCATCTACATTTGGAAAAGCTTGTATTAGCAAGTGGGCATCTCCTCTTACCTGTTCTTTGAGGGAGAAAAATTTAGTAACACATACCAGATCATTCCTTTTATGCACAGCTGTTTTTAAATATAGACCAAAATTCCTCCCAACTCTCTCCTGGATTAAATACAAGTAGACATAATTCTGGGAGTTTTGGCAGACATATCTTATTTACGAAGATAGGTTGGACGACTGTATTGTTTACAACCTTCAATTTATTCAAAGCCTTACTTTTACAGGACAGAATGTTTTCTTTCAGATCATAATATTGATTAATTAAAATTTCCCTTTCATTATCATCTGCACAATTCTCCAGCAGATCAGTAGATCTTCACAATTTTGGTAGTGCAATTTATATGACTCATATCTACTTTTTAATGCATCTAAATACAATTTTAAATCATCAGTGTACACAATTTCCTGTTTCATTAAGTCTAGGCACTTATTGTATGCCCTGGTTACACGACCTTTCCTAGAATTCAATGATGATTTCATTGTTCTAATTCCCATGGACTTATCCTGTGGATTAATTACCTTGTCCTCATCCAGAGTTCATATACATTAAATTAAACCAATAAACACTGATTATACAAATTAAGCAGGCACGTTATAAAGGTAATTATTACAACTTACCCTTGAACAAATCCTAGCCACATTTGGGCTTAGCAATTGCACAATTATTTATGGCAATTATACATCTAGCCCTACCTGGGCTTAGCCAATTAAATATAATATAAATTTCACAAATACACATTAGTATAAAGCTTAGCCATATTTGGGCTTAGCAAATTACACAATTGTATTATTACCAGCTAACATTAATTACATTTATTATTTTCAATTTATGTAGACCTAACACCCATTTTCTTAAGTCAAGTCACATTTAATTATTCACTAATCAACTGATTATATCTGGTTCAAAGGACCAAGCCCACTCTTTAGGCCTCCACGGTAATCCATCGAACTTTATTGCTACTTTCTTGTCCGATAGACATTTGCGGGTCCGTATTGGCGTCTCGCTTTCCTCGGACTTTGTACAAGCCGAGGGAGTCCTCAGCACTACTCTTTTTCTTTTAGCATCCGTTCTTCCTTTGCATATTTGGTCGTCATTTTATGTTGATGACTTCGCTATAACTTACTCGGGCGCTGACTGTCGAATAGTAGCAGCCTCCCTTCAGGTTGTGATTAGACCGAGTCTCCCATTGGACCACTTCTCATGGCTTTAAATTTTCTAGTACGAAAACCCAATTCATTACCTTCACTAGACGTCCCCTTATTCCGGATACTCCCTTGTACTTACACGGTTCACGTATTCCGGCATGTGATAGTCAAGTTTCTGGGCCTGCTCTTTGATCGCCGGCTGACGTGGAGACCTCACATTTCTTCTGTAAAGAAAACTTGCCATGGTCGGCTAAATCTCCTTAAGGTTCTTCCACATTGTTCATGGGGAGCAGATCGTCGCACTCTCCTCCGTTTGCATTAAACCCTAGTCTTGTCCATGCTAGATTATTTTGACCAAATCTATTCTGCAGCCTCTCCCGCAACTGTCTAAGTTAGACCCCATTCATCACCAAGGTCTCCGTCTGTGCCTTACCTGGAGTTTACCTTGAGAGGGTTTCGGGGGTCAACGCCCCCGCGGCTCGGTCTGAGACCAGGCCTCATGGTCTGATCAACCAGGCTGTTACTGCTGGCCTCACTCAAGCTGACGTACGAACCACAGCCCAGTTGGTCAGGTACTGACTTTAGGTGCCTGTCCAGTGCCTTCTTAAAGACAGCCAGGGGTCTATTGGTAATCCCCCTTATGTATGCTGGGAGGCAATTGAACAGTCTTGGGCCCCGGATACTTATTGTGTTGTCTCTCAATGTACTCGTGGCGCCCCTGCTTTTCATCGGGGGAATGTTGCATTTTCTGCAGAGTCTTTTGCTTTCATAGGGAGTGATTTTCGTGTGCAGGTTTGGAACAATCCCTCCAGGACCTTCCAAGTGTATATTATCATGTATCTCTCTTACCTGCGTTCCAGGGCATACAGATCAAGGACCTCCAACCGTTCCCAGTAATTTAGGTGCCTTATTGTACTTATGTGTGCCGTGAAAGTTCTTTGTACACTCTCCAGGTCTGCAATGTTGCCAGCCTTGAAGGGGGCCGTTAGTGTACAGCGATTTGAAGAGAATCATCATGAGCTTGGCGTCCCTAGTTTTGAAGGTTCTCATCATCCATCCTATCATTTTCCCAGG